TTGAAGTTTTTATGTTTGCTTCTGAACTGTACATATGTTGTTCAAATTTGATATATAATATGGCTACAGCCATATTTGGATTTGATATCGTCGCAGTATACTAGCTTCACCTAATCTTTTGAACTCGGATACTCATCAGAGTAATTTCGACTTGGAAGGCGTAGTAATTGTCAGTTAAATGTTTGTATTTCCATTTCTTTTATATAAATAGACCACTTTCTCCTGGAATTATTGTGTTTTGATATTCGACTAAGGAAAGGTGCGTTCGACATACGTCTATTGAAATCGAATTGAACTGCTACGGTAGAAAATTCAGCTACAGTCTGACAATTATTAAGAACGAGTCATCTACAGTCTGACTTTTGATTAGAAGAACAGCTACAGTCTGACAATTAGGAAAAACAAGCCTACTACAATCTCATTATTAGGAAGAATCAGGAAACATTTTGAAATTTAATCGTTTACAATATTAAACTTCTTGGAAGAAGAACTTTGGATTACTTATCTTTTGTTTGCATCAAACTGTATTTTGGAAAACGATTTTCTGATTTTCGATTTTCATTGACGAGGATTTACCGGTGGAATTTCTATATTTTGTATCTGTTATTTATCTTCCGTTGAATTTCAATTTATTATGAGCTGTCGAAAGAAAACAAACACGAAGAGGGTGGAAGAGGATGAAGAATCCCGAAATGCTATGCAAGTCGTTTGTGATTCTTCTTGTTTAATGGGTTCATTTTCCACCAGTAGTTATGTTGTGTTTGATACTTGTTATTTTAAGTCACCTTTAGAAGGCATTAAGTAACAAAATTTGGGCGAGAATTCTAAGGTACCAGTGAAGGATCATATTCTTAGGACACCGATAGTAGGCTTAGAATTACCTAAGGTTGAACTCCTATACTTTGACGGCGAACACCGAGACTACTTTAGGTTCGTTAAGCAGTTTGAATCGTTTATAGAACCTAGAGTAATGGATGATAATTTGCGTTTATTATATTTAACTCATTACTGTAAAGAAAAAGCAAGAAATGCGATTGAAGGTTGCCTTATAGTGGAACCACAAGTGGGACATAGAAGAGCTAAGGCTATTTTAAAGCAGCTCTTTGGACAATCGCATGTGATAGCCCGTGAAACTTTGGAGGACTTTTTAAGAACTGGAAATGCGGATTATAATGATCCATAAAAATTGACGGAATTACCAATTAAAATGCAAAAGATGCTCTTACTATGGAACAGTTAAATTGTATTGCAGAACTAAAATCTCCAGTAACTTTAGAGCGAATAGTTAGGCTCTTACCTCATCGAATGCAAGTCCAGTGGGCGGAGCTGGGAATTATTTGGGACGAAAAGGAAAGAGAACCTAATTTCAATGAATTGACGGATTTTATTATGTCTCGTGCTAAGATAGCTAGTAGTAGGTTCGGAAGATCAGCTAATCGTGCTGAAACAGGACATAATACGGAAGCTATTAGTGACCTGCGTGCGAGACATGAGGATTCTCACACCCGGAATTTAAGAGAGTTGTCAATTGTATCAGAAAAGTATACCACGTTGAAAGCCGAGTATGTGACCGCGATGATTTAAAACCCCTTGATGCGTATCCCAGTAAGAAGCCGGTTTGTGTAACAGATAAGATGGCTTTTTAAAATATGGAAAAGAAAGAAAAAGGCGAAAAGGGTAGGCATCAGAATGGATCCGAGGTGTGTGATGGTAAAAGCCTCTTAACTGCTCGAAAAGCAAGGAACGGTTATTTGGATTCGAGCAAACAGAGGTTAGTGAGTACATTGAATATGAATAAGGACGAAACAGGATTGGTTCGATGGAATAAAGCTTATGTTCGGAACTCTTCACGTAGGGTAAATTATTTAACGAGACCTAGAGTTGATCCTAGGAAAACAAGTGTAAATAATGACACATCATTTCATGTTGCTGAGCAATCAGGATGTCTGCAGGCTACTGTACCTAGTTCTATAGAGCACCATGATATTGAAGAGGAAGATAATAGCAGCTTGGCGCGTCCTCCTGATGTTTGTTTACGGTAAACGGATGGTCAGTTGTACACTGGTTCAAGTATTCACTGAAACATTGAAAGTGTTAGTGAAAGTGATAGCATAGCTTTAAAGCCTGCATGCCAACTATCTTGCAACTCGTCATTAACTGTGGATAGTCGTAATATCATTGTGGACAACAAAAACATCAAGGTGGAAGTGAAACCTGAATTATCTACTAATAATAGTGTAGTTGATGTGAATAATAAACGTGATGGTAACAATAGTGGAATCACTGCAGGTAGTGCTGTTTCTTCGGTTGATGTTGCTAATGTAGCTTCTTTGAGTACTTCGGATCAAGACGAAATCGGATGTATGAGAGTGGAGAATGTAGGCGTCGGGGGCAATAGCTTTACCCACAGTGATGGCAGTACTGTGAGGGCTAACATTCGGTAACCTGGGTGCAATGAGGAGTCATCTAGGTTTGATGGACATGCTGTTGTGTTGAATATGCAGAATGAGGAATCAAGCATGGAATTGTCTACCTGTCGCACTACACCATCATTGACTTGTACCACAGGTATCGGAATGAGCACTACCAACAGTGATAAGATAGATCAGGTTAAGAGCATTCCCAGTAAGGAAAGCAATGTTGATCGAGCAGAGTTAGCCACTGTACATGAGTCGACTGGATGTCATGAGAAGTGTACTGCTGCTTGTACAGCTGCTGCTACTAATGATAATAGCATTGATGATACTCCTGCGGGTAATAGTGATCGATGGAAGTTGAAACACACTCATTGTCGTCGAAATGATCGTACGTTACGCTCACATACTGCTACCCAAGCTAAAAACCATGAGAAACAACATGATGCTACTATTATTAACAAGCGTAAACTTCGTTCTCTTTCGGATGTTATGACTAGCAATGCAAATAGTAGTCATCAGAATCTTAGTAGTGACGGCGATAGTAAAGAGACAGAAAGTGTCAGCAGCCCATCTAGAGTGACTAGTCGATCAAATTCATCGAATGAGCCTTCTAGTGTTTTGACGTCGTCGGACCCTGACGCCAATGTTAGTTGATTGAGGAGACACAAGGTTTTGCATCTGTAACTGTTCCTACATCGGTTGACTGTCAGTCGAGTGATGATGAGAAGGAAGCGTCTGATGGTAACTGTCAGTCTACAGTGTTGCATGATAACGATGCTATTGATGTGTTCATATGGGTTATTTGGATAACGTTCATACTACCGTTAGGTCATGCTAAGATAGATAGGGGAATCAAGGGCCTGATGGGAAGGTACAGGTGCCTAGTTAGCTTAATAGGTCATATCCATGTTGGAGGACGGGTAGGCGTACTGCTGTGCTACACGTCCCACACGTTCTTCCGGTGTGGATTTGGGGATGAGAGTGAACCCAAACTTGAAGTGTCGATAAGAAATTGTCTTTTGCATGGAGGGATTTCGCGGGCCGGTGTAGAATCCTTTTTGAATGTTTTGTTTTTTGGAAAATCCCTCCATGTTTAAATATTTTTGTTATGACATGACGGACTCTTTCTGTTGACATTTTGGTATTTTATTTGATTCCAATTTGAGATTTTATCATTGTATATTGTTATTATTTCTATATTTTGTACTTATATTGAAGTTTTTATGTTTGCTTCTGAACTGTACACATGTTGTTTAAATTTGATATATAATATGGCTACAGCCATATTTGGATTTGATATCGTCGCAGTATACTAGCTTCACCTAATCTTATGAACTCGGATACTCATCAGAGTAATTTCGACTTGCAAGGCGTGATAATTGTCAGTTAAATGTTTGCATTTCCATTTCTTTTATATAAATAGACCACTTTCTCCTCGAATTATTGTGTTTTGATATTCGACTAAGGAAAGGTGCGTTCGACATACGTCTATTGAAATCGAATTGAACTGCTACGGTAGAAAATTCAACTACAGATATAGTGCAAGTGCATTTGTTTTGGCTGATATTATTTTAATAATGAATTGGTTGACTTCTTTTCATTCGACAGTGCTTTTACGTTTTTGCTGTGATCATGATGTGTCTTATTGCATGAAACGTTAAAATGATGACAGCAACAGAGCACATTTAACATAATTGTCGGTTTTTTTTATTGAAAGAAACACTGCCCTCTGTCTATAAGTTCGTGTATCAAAAATTTATCAGTATAATTATGTGCACAAACTACTGAGAAATGGTTCGTTCAGATGACACGACATGAGATATGATGGAAGCATTTATCCATTTTATTTTTCCTGTATATTTCATGACGTTTGGGTATTAGGTGGCAAATATATATATTGTTCTATAACGTCAAAATTGTAATATTTTTCAATACGTTGAAGTTGATATTTCAGGACAACTCACTTTTTGTGTGGTTTCGCAGATTATACTTAAAATGCTGAAGACTATTCCAATTGTCACTGATACACAGCCAACTGAAAACAATATGATCCTCCATTTTGCTATAGAATGTTGCGATCTTTCACCCGACATAATAGCCAAAATCCATATTTTAAGTGGCACAATTGCCGGAATGATCTGTTCATACCATTTACCACATAAAGTTAATATTAAAACACCGATTGTCATCATCATCAACTGAAAAGTAAACAACAAACAGGTTATTTTATATTAACTGCAGTTTCAAAGCCGTTTACAATTAGACACATTACTAAACAGTACCTGGTCAAGAATGGTTCCCAATTATGGTGCTTGGAAGTTAACTTGACCTCCAAGGAAATGTATGTTAGCTGTTGCTCATCCAGGTGTGCCGTACTGATATTAAGTGATGCTCCTTCAAAGAATATTCATATTCATTGCTCATGTGAATATAACATCACCATATTAATTTAATAAATATAACACATGAAAATTGAAACAAATTGAGAGCACAAAGCAACCTTATCAGCCGTACAGAACTTCTAATTTGAACATCTGATGATGACCTACACACTGTGGAATCACAAGCTTGAATATTTGCAGATTAATATGAAACAAATACAAATGATAAAACGTCAAACTGGTTTATTTTAGTGCTTCTGTGAGTTGACGTTATCACAGCTGCAATGTATAAGGTGATTCCAAAAAACCTTCATTTATATGTTCTTACAGTCTTCTATAATGCACAGTCAATATCAACACTTCAATCTTCTTCTTCATTTCTCCATCAGAAATTTTAAAAGTTATCCTCGAATACTTAATAGCTCTGATTCATCTCTTATTTTCAGATATATCGTCAGTATTGTATATCAGAGTAAATCCTGGCAAAGAGTCAATCACTAAAGAATATATGAAAACTGAACAAAAATGCACAAGAAATTATAAACATCATTTGAAATCATATTCAACTAACGGTTATAATCATAATTACGGTATTCATTTTAGATTCGGTGTGCAATGCTTTGATGAGTATGATGATGCTTGCCAATATTAGAGCGATACATCTGAAATGTGAAAATAAATTTCGAAACAAAATAAACTGACAGGCACATTGAGCATAGTACTTGTCATTAGGAGTTACCTGTTTATGCAACAAATGATCAGCAGTCTAGATGAGCGACATTTTTATAAAGATGTGTTCAAAAGATAATCAAAAAATTCGGCTATGAAAATACTTTAGAAATGATTTTCCTGATAACAAGTTATCAGTCACTGAGATCCTCTATTTGTGATTTGGTTTCGGGATTGTGTATTGAAGCTACAATCACTATTGATCGATCATTTCAAGAGATGATCACAAATAATTATGTACAAAATTACGTAGTCAATTGTTTTATCTTTCATGACTTACATTAGAACGATACCAGATATGTGATTTGTCTGAGCCAGTACATTTGAGTTAAATCTGTCAAGTGGATGAGTGAATTCTCAACAAACGTCAATTTCTTACATGCAACCATTTGTTTTGCGGCAGACATCATTGTCATCTACAAATGGTGTTGCACATGATGCCCAAGGTATCACGCTTGAAATATTTGCGTTTGATAAATTCATTAACTTCAACTTCCAACAAATTCTTAGAAATTTAAGATACAAATGATCATGATCGATAAATACATGGAAATACAAAAAAAGCTTAAATAATCTCTTCAGCCCTTATAACCTCTTATCAATGGTATATAAACATATATGCATTTGTAAACGTGTTTAACACGCCAGAAACCTAGTTTGAAATGAATGAGTTATGCGCTGTTTTGAGCAAATCTTCCTGTCCACGACTATATCTGCATATCTATCTATCCATCCATCTACCTATCTATCTATCTACTTACCAAACGGCCTATCTATTTATCTACCTTTCTTAACGGAATTCATGCAGTTCATTCATTGTACTGCTTTATTCAAAGCAATAATTTACTGAATCCAATCATCAAAATTACATTCAAAGTTAAAGTAAGTTGCTAAAATTTACAAACTCACAACTATCTTTAACGTGTTCACTTACCACAATTCAGTACAGTCACCTAGATCTATATTTGCAAGCACCAGCATATATTGATTGACAAATGGTTACCTGTAATAATGAACTTTGTACCAAATCAAAATGAAACAACTGTGAGACAAACAACGCAGTCTAAATTTGGGTCATTATTTCAGTTTACATATTCAAAGAATATGTGACAACACTTGAAAATTTAAAGGATGAGCTAGCTTCTCACTTCGTTTAATTCAAAAATCAGGTGAGGACTATGGATATCAGATAAAGCATCATGGAAATATGAAGATTGTTCATAGTTTTCTTATTACTTTGATTATTTAGTTTTTTGAGTGGTTCTTATCATCAGTTTCTACACATCACGAACATAAGCTCGCATGATACCTTATTGCATTCCAAGTCATCTCGCCTCAGTGCTGGAGACTTCATCATCGGTATATTATGAATAAATTTCTGATCTGTGCCCTTTTGAGGTCAGTTCCTGTACACACATAATCACACTGTCTGATGTTGTAATATTTCTCTGAATTCTACATCATCAATGTTTATATTGTCACTCACAAGCCAATCTCATGTTATTTTCCAGTTGAACATGATAACAGTTTACATAAAAGTACACTACATATCTTCAACTAATACGGTTGTAGGAAAACGGACAACGAAGGAGTTTTATAAGACAAAAGCATGTTATGATCTTCACTACTGTATTGGTAATTTGACAGCATTGTAGATCACAATTATCTAAGACAAGATATTCAGTGATAACATTGATAATAAATGGAATAATAATGATAATGGTTGAGAGGTAATTGCACTGAACGGATACTAAACACGTTGAAATTAGGTTTGTTTCAAATATTTGTAGTCGTGGCACATGTATGAAGAAAATGCGATGGGTGGAGCACTCAAGAGAACTCTTGCATAAATCAGTTTGACTGAAGCCACCCAGTATCAAGGCAGCATCCACACACCACTCAATTAAACTACAAAATCATACTCGAAGGATCGCTGACAGACTCATTTGAGATGGGGGCCGGTGTTAGTCAAGGTTACTTACTCTTACCCTTTCTCTTTGATGCAGATGATCTGACGCTGGTTCGCAAAGCAGGGGCTGCATTTCTACTACAGAAAAATGTCTACAACTCAACATAACTATCAACCAACGTAATAATCAAAATTTTCAATACATTTGTCAAGACAATTCTACTGTTTGAGGCGGACACCTGGATAACTACTATAGCCATCATCCGGGAAATAAGTGTTCATTCACAGATGTCTATGCTAGATACGTCTTATTCGTTGTTCAGACACAATCAGTAAAAAACTGTTGTAGGATAGAACAAATCTTCAACAATTACGGTTTTCAGAAAACGGACAACAAAGGAGTTTTATCAAACAAAAACAAGTTACGATATTTACTGCTGTATTGGTGATTTGACAACATTGTAGATCATAATTATATAAAACAAGATAACTAGTGATAACAGTGATAATAACAAGAATAATAATAATGGTTGAGAGGTAATTGCAGCGTTAATCAGAACAAGCAGTGATAAGCAATGAAGGCAAAGTAATCAGCAACACTGAAGAACAGCGAAATAGATGGGTGGAGCACTCAAGAGGACTCTTGCATAAAACAGTCTCAATGAAGCTACTCAGTATCAAAGCAGCATCCACATACCACTCAATTAAACTGCGAAATCATGCTCGAAGTACCCCTGACAGACTCATTTCAGGTGGAGACTGGTGTCAGTCAAGGTTGCTTACTCTCAGCCTTTCTCTTTCTCCCTGTGATCGACTGGATTATGAAGACGCCAACAGCAGGTGGAAAGCAGCTGGAAAATATGAACTTCGCAGATAACTTGGATCTTCTTTCTCACTCGCAACAACAAATGCAAGAGAAGACGACCAGTGTAGCATTAGCCTATACAGCAGCAACTCTCAACATACATAACGGGCAAAGCAAGATTCTGCGTTTCAATATTACTCTTCACTGTCGATTTGAAAACCTGTTTTAGTGTCTGTATAATGGTTTCAGAGAATCTTTTTAGTTTTACGTAAGCTGAACATGTTTGCCTGTCGCTGTTTCTGGTTATCAACACAATTCATTTTTGTGATTTCTTTGATAGCAGCACTCGAACTTATTTCAAAATTTTGTTTACTCACTTCCTGTTATTATTGCTACGATTGTTATTATTGTCACTATTATTGTTCAATAACTAATCTTTGCGTTCAACCTCAGATCTGTTTCTATTACATTTTCTAAAGTTTTGTTATTTTTGATACCAATTTGATTTCGAAGGTTTAAATTTACAACTGCCACCATAAATAATTGTTGTTTTAGTGTTCTTGTACATTTTGAGGTTCGGTCAAACTACAGGTTCACAGTATCCGACCCTCCAAAAGACATCAAATAGCAAAGAGAATAGTTTATTAAGTTATTTTCTTTTCATTAATGAGCAAACCATTATCTGAGTTTTTTAATTCATTTTATGAGTACAAAGTATTTGGGCAGTTGAACTTTAAAAAGACCTGTCAGTTCCTATAAACTAATTCATTCAAAGTTTAAACAACATTTCATCCATTTACTTAGGTTCTATCCCTATGCTACACAAGGACCAGTTAAAGAAAACCATTTTTTACTGCGAATAGATCGAGAGATGTTTGTTCGATTTTGCTGTGTGTACTAAATACGACCTTTCATATACTTTGATTTCATAGTGAATAACACCATGATACGGACGAGGTAACGGATCACGTTTGAGAGTTACACGTAATTTTACGTCAGCAATGAAATTTGAACCTGGATGCTCAGCCGAACGTGTAGATTAAAAGATTATAAAATCAGCACATATGATTAAAGGAGAATCAATGAAGTGTATTAAGTCGAAGTTTTCGGTTCCAACTACGAAAACATATGTTTCAGATGAGTTTTAGTCAAGGTGCAGTCCAGAGTCAAGAACCTATTAGTAGTAATATAATAACATTAAAACTGTAGGAATCAATAAGAACAAGAAACACACACGTATACAAGGAAGGAGTTTCACAAACTAAACCTTCAAAAGTGGATATTACAGTTACTGCTACCCTTATAATTGATACCTGCTTGAACATTTTAGTGCACAGACTGGTTTACTTTCAAAGGTTCGGCTTTGTGAGTGCAACGTAGCTTATCTCCTTTTTAGGGATCAACATGTACACTCTAAGTATAACTGCATATAACAACTAGACACAAGGCGACTCAAGCAAGTCGCATATACATATTCGACATTTGTGTGAATATGTATATACATAGACGACGACTATATCTTGCAATCTAATTGAAGTGTGGTCTACGAATAATTCAGATATGCGAAGCGCTAGATTAGTCCCATCTCTATTGACAGCCCTACAGTTTCATCTAGAGGCTTCATATCTGAAATCACTGCTCGTTCTTACTACACCTACTTCGTCTGGATGAATCAGTCTCATGATAGACAGCAGAATCGGTAGGCTAAACGTTCTCAGTAACCAGTTCCTACGTTGGTGTAATTAGATAGTCTAATCAAAGAATATCTGAATGACTGCAATAAACATCAAATACACAACATTATCATCGAAAATATGTGCAGTGAATAATGTAATTCGAAGAGATATTAGAAATGGAGGTCTAAGAAAACATCCTTACAAATCATTGACATCACAGCTTGTGATGACGTGGAAAGTATTCTCCGCAAACGCCTACATTTATCCAAGTATTTTAGGACAGATATTCAATTAATGTTCATTGTCTTAAATAAGTTCAACTAGAAAGCACAGTATAATGTAAACAATGAAAGAAATAATTGACATGTAATTTTGAATTAATCACCAGTATAAATAATTCAAATGATATTGTAAAAATCAGATAAACTTAACGGTAATGTTCCAGTTCGATGTTTTTCATTGATTAATATGTGGCCATTGCAATACTCTGTAATTACAAAAAACAATCATGTTAGGCCGGTGATGAAATGAAGGACATTCATC